ACAATGCCAACGATGTGCAAATGGAAAGAACAACAACAAAACAATTGACACTGAATGTTAAGTAAGAGAACGAATCACCCATCTTTGCAGAAGTGGAGGACTATGGTTATGGAACACTGCATATGATGTATCTAGTTGAACAATATGGGTATGTTTTGCTGAACTGTTTCCCTCCTTTTATTGTTTATTATAAAGGATGGCTCTCTTGAAAGAGGATGCGAAAGAGAGAAATGTATTAGAAAATGAAAGGGTTATAAACACAAAAGTTACCAGCAAAATTTCATTAAAAAATAAGAAAAACAAGTTGAAATCATTAAAAAAAACCCCACCAATGTACCCAAATTTCCTTGCAAAGAAACCAGTGTTAATAGGGTATAGTGGGCTTCTTCTTCAGATGAAAGCTTCGGAAACTTAGTTCAAAGCTACTGAAGATATAGAATTAAAGACTTGAAGATTACTATTATAAAGGGAAACACTTAAGTCTATAATGGTTTAAATGGTCCTTTAGACCTAGAGTGTAAATCCAATTAAAAAGCTGAGATTAGGTTACTGACCCTGGGCCCAAAGGAATAAGGAGAACCTGAAGCACTTTCCCTGAATAGATTATGAAGACACTCTGAACACATCACTTAGATTCTATTCTGTATCATGCTATCAATACACTGGATTCCTGCTGCTAAGGCTAGAGAGTTCAGAGGAAGTAAGATTTACATTTGGTTGAAGATTCTGAAACAAGGATGCAAGCTCAAAGTCAATTTCAAGGTCAAGTATATGAAACTGCTGGGTTTTTCTTTATCTTGAGTGGGAGAGAACAAGATTAAGAACAAATTTTATGCTGGTGAAAGGTGCCTGACAGCCACGGAGAATAAAGCTTGATGCCGTGCCACAAGAGAGCAGTTCAGTGTAGAAGGGTAGCAGTGTTAGTTTTTCAATATTAGCCCTTGCTTAATGAGCCTTAATCCTGATCTGAAATTTATTGATTTCTGGACCTGTATGCTCAGGATCACCAAACAAGCTGATTAACAACCTTGCCTTTGCCAGCATGTTTGACACAGTGTACCCTCATCTTCCTGTGGTTATCACCCCAAGTGCTTTTTTGTTCACTGCAATGCAACAAGCATTATTAAGCACCTTACACTTAATATGTAAGGCATTAGACTAAGGGATGGAGATGCCAAAACGAAACTAATAGTCTCTGACATCAAAGGAATTTGTCATCTAATAGTTGAAATAAGGTAAAGAAAATATAGCACAAGGCAGAATGTCATAAGGTTTAAGAAGAGATCCAAACAAATTGCTCTAGGAAAATATGAAGAGAAAAATATTATTGGGGAAGGGGGAGGCATGATGGATCAGTAAAGGTTTCATGAAGAAGGAGGCACCTGAGCTGTGTTTTGAAGGAAGAGTTGAGGCAGCAATGAATAGGTATTGTGTTCCAAGTAAGGTAGGATTAACTTGATGAATGCATGGTGATGGTATACAACATAATGAAGTCATCTAATAGCTACCAGTCCAGACTGGTTAGAACATGATATATGTGAAGGGAGTGGGTAATGCAAAATACAGTTGTAAAGAGAGGTCAGCCAGATTGAGGAGGGCTTTAAATGAAGGTTGTATTTTACCCTACAAAAATTAAGATAAAATATCATTCACTTCTGTTTGTTCTATACCTAAGTCCAAACTGAAGAGTCTTCCCATCTGTCCTGATTAAGTTCCTCAAATTTCATTATGAGTAAAATACTACAAGCTTAGGCACTTCCTTATTTCATGAATAAACAACATTGCTTCAACAAAAGTTGAGAACCCTGCCTTTCCTTCCTGGCAATTTAACTCACCCTTCTCAAATTGTGTCATTATAAAGCACTTGAAATGTTAGCCCTTGTAAATTAGTGAAGGTCAAGCACATTGAGAAATGCAGCAAACACTCTCAAGAGTCTATGGCATGGACAGAATGCAGCATATTTAGCTGTACTAATGTTCTTTTGGGGAGTGTGCTTACGTTCTTTTGGAGAGTACAAAGGGGAAGCAACAAAGCAAGTGGTGTCTCAGGGGTCAATAATCAAAGTTCACATAATTAAATGCTCAGCAAACAAATAAAACACCTATAACGTACAGATACAGGGCTGGTGCTGGAAGAGGTGAGATGCAAAGTTTGGATCACAAGATGAGCTAGAAGAAACTTTTTTAGATCATCCAGTACAACACTCTCATTTTTGACAAATGTTGCCTACGGTCACATTGGTAATAAGAGGCAAAGCTAGTACCACCCCCTCTCTCATGTTCTCTCCCCGCCCCCAGTTAGCTTATATTAACTTTGAATACATTTTGTATCTACTTATATGTATATATCTTTTTCCCCTGAAAGAATGTAAATTCCTTAAGGGCAGGAACTGCTTAATTTTTGTCTTGGTATTCCTGGAAGCTAGCACAGTACCTAGCATGCAGTAGGCACTTAAATAAATGTTTGTTTGTTGATACAAATCCAGTTTTCTTTATACTGTACCATGCTATCTCATGATACTACATGGATACTTGAATGTGGTAGAAGAGTAAGAAACAGTTAGCCATAACATATAAGTACATTAGAGAGGTACAAGCAAAATGGTATATGAGATTCAACAAGCATTGTAGGGGAGGGTACAGGAACAAAAGTATCCAAAGCATTAATGCAGGAGAGCATAAGGTATGTTTGGAAGAAGAAAGCAGTTTGGCTAGCACATTCAGTATTTGAAAGAATAAAATGAAATAAGGCTTAAAAAGTAGGATGGTGCCAAACTGAAGGTTTTGAGTCACAAGCAAAAGGTGTCTTTCTCTACTCCAATCTAGCCCCTACATAGCTATCAATGTGATTTTCCTTAAGCAAGTCTGACCACATCAAAGCCTTGCTCAATAAATCCAACTGCACCCTATTACCTCTAGGATGTATGCACATGACCACGCCCGTATATGGATTAAGATATAGATATGTGAATGAAAAGTGTTTATTGTTTATCATGTTCTAAACACTATTCTAAGTGCTAGGGATTCAAAACAGTTCCTGCTCTCAAGGAGCTCACATTCTAATGAGGGAAATAGTACATATCAAGGGTTCAGCTTCAGGGCAGATGGCAAGGTCTGGTGGTCTCTAAGGTTCAGTGGCAGAGTATATAGAAAGTGCTGGGAGCTTTAGGAAGCACTGGGAAGATTTTTAGGAGTCAACAAACTATAACAGCAGTCTGCTTTTGTACTGCCAGGGAGCTAATGTGATTTTTACGTTTTTAAAATAGTTTTTATTGTGTTTAAAAATAAAAAAATCATTCTTAGCTAGTGTTAAGAGAGTAGAGGGCTAGAATTTGGTCGCTGGACTGCAATTCACCAAATCTTGGGGAAAATAGATGTAAACATAGGTACACACACACGATAAATTACTTTTTTGCGGGGGAGGGGTTGGAAACACCAGGAGCTAAAGCGCTCAGAAAAAGTTAACACAGGAGATGGTACTAAGCTTGCTTTGAAAGTAACCAGGGATTTTCAAGGTAGAAGTGAAGAGAGAGTACATTACAGGTGAAGGGGACATCCAGTGCAGAGGCACTGAGATGGGAAATACTTTGTGTGAGGAACACTAAGAAAGCCAGTTAATCTAGACAACCATGGTGTGAATGAAAGGAAATAACGCGTACTAAGGATTTAGAGGCAAGTTGGGGCTGGCAAAGGTAATAGGGAACCACTGGGTTTTGAAGGCAGGAAAAGTTTCACTTTTGTTTGTGTCCCCAGAGCCTCAAATAGTGCTTGGCACATAGTAGGTGATTACTGCTGTTGGGAGGAAACAGGCAGCCACCAGAAATTTTTGAGCCTACAAGTGACATGGCCATCTGTACGTGGAATATTTGGGGAGAAATACAAAAACAAGATGTGTGAAGCTGGAAAGAAAGAGGAAGGCAGGAAGAAGCTCCTCTGCCAGTTCAGATGGGCAGATCCAAGGGGGCTTACCACAGCCTGAACAAGTCAGTGGCAGTGGGAACAGAGAGGAGGGGAAGGATACAAAAAATTGGTGTGACTTCCTAGGTTCTTCTGATTAGAATACAAGGAGGAAATGAGTTGTAAGGGGCATGAATTTTATTCACCTGCCAGCCTGCTTTAGTTTTTGGTTTTTTGGGGGGGAGGCAATGGGGTTAAGTGACTTGCCCAGGGTCACACAGCTAGTAAGTGTTATGTGTCTGAGGTCGGATTTGAACTCAGTTCCTCCTGACTCCAGGGCCGGTGCTCTATCCACTGCACCACCTAGCTGCCCCTTGCTTTAGTTTTAATCTTATTCAGTACAACCAAAAGAGTAAATTTTAAAGTCTGAATCTCTGGAATTCTGTCCCCCCAGGTCCTAAAAAAGCTTTGAGATACTAAAGAGACACAACCATCCCATTGCACTGGCCTCTGGCCTGTCTTTGGCAAAAGATAAGCTAAGGCTCCCCATATGCCAAAGTGCAAAAGAATATGGTAGGTATGAGTGAAATGACCAGATAGAACAACTTCCTCTACTTAAACATCCTGATGGTTTTCACATGTATTGCACTAGATTACAAAACAATCACACAGATATTCTGAAGCAAAGATACCTGAGAATGGATCCAAGATATTTTATGAGGCAGTTTTGCAGATCTGGTTTGTCTAAAAAAACTTCCCTAAGAAGTAAAAGCACAAGAAGGATAGGAGAATACACATACTAGAACTTGAACTCTGCAGCACATAAGCAAAAAGTTCCCTTGCACAAAGCTACTCAACAAAAGCAACTAGACAGAAAGATGCCACAGTAAAATCTTAAGCACTGGCATCTGCAAATCTGGTGACATACAGACCAAGGCTAAAAAAAATCCAGATCAGAAGTGATTTTTTAACCACTTTTTTCACATAAACCACTGTACTTACTGACATTTCTCAGAGAAGCTTATAACAGTAGCTAAGGACAGGAAGAGAAAAGTGACAAAGAGATTCTCTGGCAGAAGCTCAGAGAAATAGGTTTGGCTAACCTGGTGAGTGTCTGCTTTCCTCCCCCACCAAACCATTGCAATACATGGCATGCAGCTCAATTTCTGTGGGCGGGAAACCCTGGTCACACATTGGGCAGGACACCTGGATATGAGCCGAGAAGATGGAGGTAGACATTTCCTTCTCAATATTTTCATCGACAGCAGCCTGAAGGACACAAAGAACATAATTATCACAAAAAGCAATCACAACACCTTCAATTTATAAAGCAAGGAATTCTAAGTGTTTCTCATTTAGAGAATTCAATACACATTTGAGTGTCATTACACACTATACACTGTGCTAGGTCCCTGTGGCACAAAATGAAAAATGACATAATCCTTTACCTAAAGGAGTTTTCAACCTTTTGGGGTGGGGAGGCCTGAAGGAGAGGTAGGAGGGAATGACATCTGTATGAAAATTAAGCTGCCTCTGCTTTTCACTCTAACATATTTTTCAATGAGGCAAAATAGCAATGGTGGAAAGAGTGGGCTTGGAATAAGATGATTTGGGTTCAATTTCTGCTTTGTGGCTTTGTGCAAGTCATTTCACCTCTCTAAGCCTCACTTTCGCCTTCTATAAGGTGTGGACAATAATACTACCTACTTATGGGTTTGCTAGGAAAGCATTTTATAAACCTTACAGCACTAAAGAAATGTGAGCTCTTATTATCATTGCCGTCATGCAGCTATTCTTCCTCCTGTAATGCTTACATCTCACCTGTACAGGTCAGAGCTGGGAGCTCTGCAGTTATTAACTCAGCAGCATGAGTGAGCACTGCAGCACAACTACCTAATTCTTGTTTCCAAGGACAGCATGTCCCAGCCAATCAATATTGAGGCTGCCCTGGATATCCACTGTTTCCATTTAGAGCAAGGATCACTTGTGCTGCTGCAATACCTCACAGGGGGAAAAAAATTAAATCTTTCTCTGGTCTAGAAACTAAGATGGAATGAAAATTTGAGACAAGCAAAATTGCCATTTTGGGCTGTAAAATCAGGCCACCTTCAAAACAGACTGTTTATGAACTAAAATTGAGTGGTGGAAGCAAAAACGCCATTCAAAAAGATTAGTCAATTTGGAGTAAGAAGACCTGGGTTCAAATCCTAGGCCAAATGAATACTTCTTGCGTGATCCTGCACAAGTTATTTATCCACCCCCATCCTCTTTTTCCCATCCCAGCTGCACTGTCTATAAACTGTGAAGGTTAACCTAGGTAATTAAGGTACTTTGTAGCTGTAAGATCAATATTCTTAAACAAAACTTTTCTACAACCCCTAAGAAGTGTCCCAATTTTTAAAAACAGAACAGAATAATTTAACTGTGTAGGGAAGACCTCAAATCTCTTCCCAACCACACTTGCTCCTTTTCCTCCAGGTTCTTCACTGTGTTTAGAGAAGCCAGTCAGAACTGTGCCACATACATAAAACCTTATTTGAGTAACAAAATCAATTACGACATAACAATATGTAAGCAGTTATGAATACCTCAGAAGTGGTAGCCATCTTCGACAGTTACTTAGCATTCAAAGTTCACTAAACACACTTGTGATGTGTCATGAATCTCACTAGAACACACACCCCAGCACTATTCCCTTTGCATTCATAACCAGCTCTGTAAAATGCAGAGAATGTGCCTTCAACTATTAATGTATTCAAGAGGAAGAAGTCTGTCTATTATTGTCTTACCGTGAATACTAGAACACTTCCAACTATGCTCACAGGCAATCCAGAAGATTTCTGTTATCTTTACATTAAAAAAAGATTTCTTTCTAGCACCATTAAAAAAGTCTGTTTAAATATTAACTACCACAGAGAAACCTCAAGAAGGAAAAATACAACAAAAGCAGCTTTTATTGAGACCATGTAGCAGAAGACTCAGCCTTGGCAGACATACCTCTACTTCACATCACAAAACTACTTCTCAAAAGAGGTAATCAGACACTGTGATAAAGCTTCTTAAAGGGGTGACACTTAACATTCT